ATTCTAAAATGACAGAATTTAGATTTCCATCATTTCAATTTTTGGCAATTGAAGATTTCAGTGTTTGGATTTATGTATGTCAATTTTGTAAATGGCACTATGGAAATTGTGAAAGACACCTATTTTGGTGGAAATTAAACTCAGGAATTTGATGCCCCAATTTCCACGATTTATTCTGCGCATCATTTATATGCAAAAGATTCATGAACTAATCATTTGAAGTTCTAAACATTTTTTTAATAATGTTTTAAAAAAAAAAAAATCAAGAAAAGCTTTGTACTTTCATCACACTTACTAAAGGTTTTTCATCCTGGAATTTACCATGGCAGTTCTCTCCTACATCAGAGCATATATTACTTGCCTATGGCCGTCGTCACAGTTCACTTCTTAAGAGTGTTGTCATTGATGGGGAGACAACAGTGCCTATTTACACCATTCTGGAGGTAAGAGTTTTTAGTTCTTTTTCCCCTCCCTTCTTATGTGTTTTGCCTGCGATCGAGTGTCAAAGTTTCATTTTGATCAGGTGCTTCAATCAATCTGGAAAAGTAACGTGTAGAAATTTGCGTGAAAATTAATCTACTTATAATAAGGACGATAATATGAAATTTTTATTAATTATGATTGAGGCTAATCTATGTAACCTAAGTTAGATTACACTAGACTTAGAATGCAATAAATGACGGTGTAAACTAAAAGTCATTTTGGAGCTGAATAATTATTTGTGTATGAAATAGATTTTATATCAACTTTATTTAAAGTTTCCTGGTAATTATGTCTTGTAGTTCTACTATAAGATACAATTGCTGTGCATGATATATACATTAATGTTAGTGTTGTTTCTGGTTGTCTCTACTGTAATTGACAGCTGTATTAGGTAGGTATAGGGTGAATTTTGGCATAAATCTATTTTAAATGTTCATGTAACAATCATATTTATTATTCAGGTCTATAGAGTTTCTGATATGGAACTTGTGAGAGTTCTTCCTAGTGCGGAGGATGAAGTCAATGTCGCTTGCTTTCATCCTTCAGTTGGAGGTGGCCTTGTCTATGGAACTAAGGTAAGCAATTGGGATTCAGAAAGATTCTTTTAGTTTTCTTTTTCCTCGGCCAATTTCCATAACTTACGAGTCGTATTATGAGATGCAGGAAGGGAAGTTACGGATCCTCCAATATGATAGTTCTCATGGAATGAGTCATACAACGTCCGCTTTTCTTGATGAAAACATGCTTGAGGTACAAAAAGCCCTTAACGAAATTATGCCTTTCCTTTTTGTTTTCAAAGTTGCTTTACAAATCAAAATTAACATTTCATCCTTAACATGTTTAATTACTTTTCTCAACTGTTCATTCTCCTGCGTTTTGAAAGTTGTTCCTTTTTGTGCTGTACTGTCTATTCTAGTAATGTTTTTCTTCTACTGTAACTAAAAATTTCTGGTGCCTACCTTTGAGATATTTGAGGAACAAGATGTTAGAACTCTCAACATATCAATTTAAATTGGTTCTCTCCAGTATTTTTTATTTACAGACTATTCCGAGAAAATTGAAATCAGTGCCAAACAAATAAAAAACTGGGAAAAACAAGCTTTGCTAAATCTTTACCAAGGAAAAAGTGTGGAAAAAAGTTTATATGAGAGAAGTGCAACATAAGGTAGCACAGTTGTGTCCAGCTGTGTTGGACAATGATTTCAGTTCATTTACTTGAACCAAAAAATAAAAAGAAAAAAATTCTTAGTGAATTTTAACGTGACTTTTAACATTATTACATGCTTCTTCATGGTACTCACGGTTTTGTTGTGTCAAACAAATCATTTGTGATTGTTACAACATTGTTGGATCTCTTGTGCATTTCGAGATTATAGTAGGGGCAGAGCAGTGATTTGGAATGTGATTTTGGTTTTGTAACAATATTTTGGTTACTAATATTACCAAAATCAATTATTGCAGGTCCCGACATATGCTTTGGAATGCTAGGAACTAGCCATCATTTTCCTCTTGTGAGACGAACCACTCAGCTTAGCTGGTTTGTTTTTCTTTTTGAAGATCTATTGCCTTTGGGTTTTGTTAAATTAATCTTATTGTGCTTTCGACATCGTCGTTTTATGGTGATTTGTGGATAAGATTTGTAGTATTATGCCTCTAATATTATCCTTATTTTCTAGATGTTTTGCATAGTTGAGTAAACAGATGAATTCCAGACCAAAAAAAAAGAGTAAACAGATGAATTTAATGCTTTTCTCTTGGTGTTTAAACAGTCAAATATTTGAACATAAAAGGCTAATTGGACAGAGAAATAAATAAGTCAGCTTTAATTGTAGAGATAAATAGATTAACCTTAGGCTTGAGTCCCTTTCCTTCTGAGGAAGTCCTAAGATTACATTTTGAAAATATAGTTTTTCCCTGAATAAAAATATTTGAGAGCAAATTGTCTTGATGTCTGCTGTATCCAACACAGCCATGGCCACCTTGTAGGAGTGTATGTGCTTCACAGGTTTGTCCAGACGATTGCTTGATGTATAATTTTAGAAGGGTTATCTACTTAATATTTCAAAATCTTGAAACATAGACTTCACTTTTGCGTATGGTTATAAGCTATACTTGGTTGAACTGTGTTCATTTGATTTGAGTTTGCTGAATTATTTCAATTTATGTTTTTGTGATCCTCATTAGCTATTTGATCTGGTCTGCTGGCAGTACAGTGCAACTTATATTCTTTTGCACCCAGTTTTTTTCATGTTTATTTATTTATCATTCGTCTAGAGGAAGTATAAGCATGCTCTGTTGTTGCCACTCTTTGTGGCCCTTAAACTAGGCGACCCCTAGTTATGGTACCTAGGTAAAGCATTAGTGAGTCAGATCATATGCGACTAAACCAAGGCAGAAATAACCACAAAGATTATGGAATCCCCTGGTTAGTATGAACATAAAATATGCAACTAATTCACTAACCTTCAACTTGGGTCAGCTTCAGTTAAGTAGTTTGGTGTGGAGGAACAGCAGATGGCGAGCACAGAGCAATGCTTATGCATACTGCCTCTAGAAAAAACATACAGAAGCATGGAAATAACTCAAGTGCTTAAGATATTAGTTTATGTTTTAATGGCTCTGATTTCTTTGGTGAAAAAATGTACGACGATCCTATGTTTTCTTTTCAGGGTGGAGTCACAGTGCACACATGAAGTTGAAGCTTGTAGCGAATTACACATATCAATTTACCTATAACAGTTAACCCTGTACCTGACTGTTGTTTCTTCAGTCAAATGCCTGTGAAATGCTCCATTCAGAATCAAAATATAACTCTGTAATTTTTCCTTTATTGTTTTTTTGTTAGAGTAAATGCTGTCTACACCACTAGGGAATTTAATTTAACAAGGAAAACTGATAAGTAAGATGGAGCAAAACATGTCAAGGACCATGTTATTGTATATGCTTGCTCAGGTTCCATTGGACATTGTTATTAGGAATGTAATTTCTTCTCTCAATTTTTTTTTCATTTTTTTTTCTTTATCCCTTTGTCTTGAACAAGGCATTAAGTTTTTAGGCCCCTATATGTAGGCCTTAATTGTAAAATAGAAAAAAAAAAGAAAAAAGAAGGGAATCTCATTGGTTGTTGGCCTCCAGTTATGTATAATTATTTGATGCATCACTAGTTGCCCAGATGATTTTATGCGAATGGTGAACGTTGCCAGTCTCTTGGTTTATTTTTTCTTAAAAATCAATCACAAAAACAACATTTGATTTATTTCATCAATTTTTGTCCAACTGCAGTGGTATAGAATGCAAGACGATTTGTACCAATAATCTTCGTTCTGTAAGGGCTAAAATTACTTAACCAAAAGTCCTGCTGATAGTGTTTGACCAAAAAAATTTAAAATTGCTAAGTCACACAAGTGCTAGGTGCTTCTCCATATAGCACTTTCAATTGCCTTTTTTAAAAAGCACATAAATTTAAAACAAAAAATTCAACATATTTTTGAAGAAAAAATAAATAAAATAGAGCATAAGTACTTTCTAAAGAAGCATTCCCAAATGAATGAATGACTGAAGTACTTTCTAAAGAAGCATTCCCAAATGAATGAATGACTGAAGCACGTAATAACAAAACAAAATATATAACATTGAAATAACCAAAAGGTAAACTTATAACAAGCTTTACCACTTGCTCTCTCTTGACATCATTACTAATCTCCATGCCAATTTGATGAGCACATTTTATATCTTAATTTATATTACTAAAATATATTTATTAGTCCTTTTCATTAGATAAATTCAGTTTGTTTTTATGAAATTTAAGAGCTAGAATTGGTGCCCATGTGGGGAATAGGCAGTTGCAGGCCTGTAAAAGAGAATAAAGCAGGGACAAGAGGACGATAACGAAGGGATTGGCGTAACAAAAGGGAAGTGCGATTTATTTGGTGATGGGCAGGCAGGGCATAAAAATTGAATAAACAAGTGAAGTGAAACGGCTGCCCATCCTACTAGCTTTAATCTCCAGCCTATAAATAGAGTGTTGCGGCATTGTTCAAAACCACCCCGCACCGGGAGCTCCCAACTTCTCAAGAGCTCTCTCTCCCTTCTCGCTTGTACTTCCAACTCTGTCATTTTCTCTACATCGCTCTTGACACTTGGACTTCCGAGTTATATTGCTGTGCAACACCTTCACTTGGGTTTTGGAACGCTTTGTCAAGAAATGCAGAGATTATTCCTTTGGTGGGAGGTTTGCTTGTTATGTGGGGAGGTTTGCTTGTTATGTGAAATTCTTCACATCTAGCACACTCTTTCCAAACTCATCTCATTCTTATTATTATTTTTAATTTTTTTGTTTTTGTTTTGATGTTGTTTATTTATTTTATGTGATCTAGAGATCATCTAGGAAGATTTGTTAAAAAGCATGAAACTGTTAATTCGGAACATCCTGGTTTAACTTCTTCATATGAAACATCTAACGAATATGAAATCTTGGTAGAAAATGTTAATGAGCGTGAGGTTGTTAAATAAATAAACAACATCAAAACAAAAAAATAAAATAAAAATAATAATAAGAATGAGATGAGTTTGGAAAGAGTGTGCCAGATGTGAGGAATTTCACATAACAAGCAAACCTCCCACCAAAGGAATAATCTCTGCACTCTTGACAAAGCTTTCCAAAACCCAAGTGAAGGTGTTGCACAGCAGTATAACTCGGAAGTCCGAGTGTCGAGAGCGATGTAAAGAAAATGACAGAGTTGGAAGAACAAGTGAGAAGGGAGTGAAGAACAACAAGATATATCATCGACAAGACAATTAAAGACATTCTCATACGCATTTAGCATCTAGCGTTTCTTTAATATAGTACTTGATTTACAAAGTTTTCCAAGTTTGAGGATGAAGAACCATGTGGACTAGCGGCTTCTTCTGCCAGTTTCTTCCACTCCATGACCTTGTTTTTCATTTGCTTACCTTTCTCTCCTTCCATCAACTCTCTAACAAGCTTTTCCACCTGGTCTCTCTTGACATCATTACTAATCTCCATGCCAATTCCCCACACATTACAAACACAATGACAATTTGTTTGCTGGTCCGCAAAGACGGGCAAGGAGAGCATAGGCACACCTGCAACCAGATCAGGTCTAATTACCCAAAAGAAGGGAAGCTTGCTGTTTGCCAGTCCCCAACCAAACTCCACAAGCTGTTCGGGTGTTACGACCGCTAAACTTCCAAAGTTCACGTAAACAACCGAATTTGGTTCTTTAGAATTTAGCCATTTGATGCATTCGGTTTCTTCGTTCCATAGACTATATCCCATGTCCTTCAAAGGGTACTCCGGTATCTGGTTAAGAAATAGTTGGAGAGGGCCAATTGCATAAACAAGTGGAAACATGGATGAGAGAGCATCCAAAACTTCTTGCTCCAATGCATTAAAAGTATGAAGAACAATGGCTGAACCTTTATCGAATTTTTTGATTGCTTCAATGGAGAAGATCCAAGATATGGCATTGGGATCTGTTGTAATAAAGTTGTTTGGGAGATCCCTTAACCTGATATCTTTCATTGCTGGAATCCAATCTATGATCTTGTCCAGAAAACCATTTGTTAAGAAGCTTTCATCTGCAAATACCCAAGTGAAGAAAAGAAAGCTTTTTTTTCACTATTGGTTCAATGACTCTCTGTCACATGTCCTCAACAATAATGAGAAGAAGAAAAAAAAAACACAAAATTTCCAATCAAATTTTGAAGTTGTTGTAATACAGTTTGATTTGGTACTTGTAGTTTTAATAAGTTTGGTTTGGTATCTATTATTATAGTTCATGTACTGAGTCAGGACACATGTTAAAATTCAAGTACCAAAAAACAAAAGTAAAAAAGCCAAGAAAATCTTCATTTGTTTACCTTTGAGAGGGGTAAGTCCTCTTTCCACCAAAGTGGGAAACTGTGTAAATCCCATGAAGCTGCTTGCAGAAATAGTGAAGAAGAGCACCACAGGAATTCCGATTTCTTCAGCTGCTGTGATGGTGAAGGACATCCAACCATCCGAAACGATGTGAGACACTGGAGGAATGTTGGCCGTGTGATTGAGTTTCTTGAGGAGGCCAAGAAATGGTGCTAGAAATTTTTTACTGACTGAGTCAGCAAGCAAAAGAAGGTCTTGAGTGGTATCTTCATCTGAGCTGTGAAGGCTATCTGGTATGGTTTCGAATCGAAAACCAGGCAAGCCGTCGAGGGAATTGGACCCCAGAGACTTAAGGAACCTCTTGTGATTGAACTCTGTGTTGACAAAGGTTATATGAACACCTCTATGGTGGAGGAGTTTTGCAAACTTAAGCATTCCCTTTATATGGCTTTGAACTGGAAAAGGAATGCAAACAACATGAGGCCTGTTACCTACTTCCTTAGAACCCATCTCTCAATATTTGTTGTGTGTATTTTTCTCTGTGTTTTGCACTCTCAGAAATGCACTGTTTTTATAGGGTTGGCAACAATTTTTTGTTTTGTTTTTGTGTGGCTGTATCATGACAATTAGTCCTACAAAGGAGTCAGGCATATGCAATTGAAGATGAAAATTATTAAAATGATTGGTGCAGTTTTATATTACATTGAATAATTTATATATGATATATTTTTGTATGGCTGTTTAAATTAAAAGACAAATAGGAAAGGGTTTATATATGCAACAAGCAGTCTGAGACAGAGCTGTCTTTGCTATGCAGACGGAGCTTTTCCAATTGACAACTGAACAGGCAGAAGGTCGCGTCTCAATCAGACTTGTCTCCTTGTGCCGTGAAACCGGGACTACACTCCCCCCCACCACACCTCGTCTGGAGCCCACCCCATCCTAATGATGGCTTTTTCTCTCTTTTCTCCTTTTGTCATCCCCTGCTGCCCCTTCTTCCCTGCCCTGCTCTCCTACTCTATAATCTACACTGTTGACCATAGGATCATAGGAGGTCTTTGTTTAGCAGAGCGATGGAGATGGATGATATGAATGGGGTGCTGAATAAGACGGTGCGAGCTTACCTAGAGGAACCCAAGCAACCCCTTGTCTCTTCTGTGAGCATCCTGACGTAATGGAATTGGAATTCATTCATTCTCATCTTTTCCCCCTTCTTCAACCGACGGTCAGATCTCACAGCATGCATGGGGTTTCCATGCCAATTGTTATGAGTTTCATTTTTCTATGTGAGATTTGTAAGACATAATATGTTGGACTGCTATTCAATTTCACAGGTTTAGTCTCAACATATTAAACAATGGTCATGATTCTTGTACTCATTAAACAATTAAATGTGTTGTTAAGTAGCTTAGACGAGACACATGCTTTGTTGGACGGATGTTTAATTGAAGAAGTACAGTCTCAACACACCAAACGGAGGGATAATCTAAACTAAAGGGGATGAGGGTTTCTCACATAGAAAGTACGAAGGTGCTATGGAAGTTCGAATCTAAAACCACTTATATACTATAATTGGACTATTGACTAACTGTCAATACTCTTATAATTTTAAACAAAATAGTCCAACCCATCAAATGTGACCTAAAGGTGCTTAAACGAGATACGTGCAATGATATGGCCGGCAACCCAATAATGTGAAAAATGCGGTTTCCTATCCTCCATTGTACGTTTGCCACCCTCACTGACGCAGGTGGCATCAAAGGTGAATGAATCACCCGAATCATGAAACACGGGCAAGGCCCACGTACCCAATGCCCGACCCATGTGCCCAAAAGACCTCTTTGCGTCTTGTTAGCTGTATATTATGATAATAATTGCACGTAATCGTAGTAGCTTTGCTAACTCCCGCGAAACACTGATGAAATATTATGAGCCACCCAACAACGACCCCAAATGACACAAAGGAGGAGATGTAACTTTGGAGGGCTTGGATCCAAGGTGACACCAAATTTGTGTATCAAATTAGTGTCCAAACGAAAACAGTCAAACTTTGTAGCGTCCAAATGATTGGAACTATGTCTAGTCCAATCCCATAGACTAGTATCACCCTTGGGACTTATTTTATTGTCCAATTTAATGAGTCCAGGCTCATTTTCTAATGTGGGACATGAATAACATTACTTGAGGGATCCCTCAATCAAAACGGGACTCAATACATATAATTATTTATCATGATGTTAATGTCTAGTCTTTGGTTCGAATGTGTCTACCAGTTGCCTAACCCCCTTCTTCAGTCCTTCGGTCCTCATCCAGCACGATACACAACTGATATCCTCCCACAATCAAAGTTATATCAACACTTCTTGTGGTCTCAATTTGTACAAGCACCTGTGACCAAACTTCATTTCCCATTCAAGATCAATTGGACATCAAATCAGAGGAATTTCTTTATACATGATACACATATAGATTGTACCCCACAAATCATAAATACAAAATTACCCTGGACACGTTTTTCTTGTAATTTAATTTCAAGAAAATTGTATTAACAGTTTTGAAGAACAAGAAGATATATCATCGACAAGATAATTAAAGACATTCTCATACACATGTAACATCTAGCTTTTCCTCAATAGTACTTGATTCACAAAGTTGTCTAAGTTTGCAGATGAAGAGCCATGTGGACTAGCGGCTTCTTCTGCCAGTTTCTTCCACTCCATGACCTTGTTTTTCATTTGCTTAGCTTTCTCTGCCCCTATTAACTCTTTAACAAGCTTTCCCACTTGGTCTCTCTTGGCATCTTTACTAATCTCCATGCCAATTCCCCACACATTACAAACACAATGACAATTTGTTTGCTGGTCAGTAAAGATTGGCAAGGAGAGCATAGGCACACCTGCACATAGGCTCTCAATGGTTGAATTCCAACCGCTATGTGTTAAAAATCCTCCAACTGATGAGTGCTCAAGGACTTGCTCTTGTGGGCACCAACTTGCTATAAGGCCTCTTTCCTTAGTTTCAGCCTCAAACTCGGGTGGAAAAATCGCTGATTTACCAGCAACCAGATCATGCCTAATTACCCAAAAGAAGGGAAGCTCGCTGTTTGCCAGTCCCCAACCAAACTCCACAAGTTGTTCCCGTGTTAATACCGCTACACTTCCATTCACATAAACAACAGAGTTTGGTTCTTTAGAATTTAGCCATTTGAGCCACTCAGTTTCTTCTTTCCACAGACTATATACCATAGCCTTCAAAGGGTGCTCTGGTATCTGGTTGAGAAGTAATTGGAGAGGGTCAATTGCATAAATAAGTGGAAACATGGATGAGAGAGCATCGAAAACTTCTTTCTCCAATGTATCAAAACTATGAAGAACAATTGCTGAACCTTTACCAAATCTTTGGGTTGCTTCCAAGCATAAGATCCAAGATGCTTCGTCGGGGTCTGTGCTAATAAAGTTGTTTGGGAGATCCCTTAACCTGATACCTTTCATACCTGGAACCCAATCCATGACATTGTCAAGAAAGCCATTTGTTAACCAGGTTTCATCTGCAAATACCCAAGTCAAGAAAAGTAAGCTTTTATATGTCCCTCACATGTCCTCAACAATAATTAGAAAAAACACAAAGTTTCCAATACAATTTGTAAGTTGTTGAAATAAAGTTTGATTTGGTACTTATTGTTAGTTTAAGGGAGAAGAGGTTTAGAGAATGGTTGGTAGTGTTTAGGACAATAACTTAATTTGGAAAGGAAAACTTTTGAAAGAGTAACAAAGTAGTTTTATTTTAGGGGTTTTAACTGTAGACGTCCCTGAACTTTGCCTCGATTTGCAATTGGGTCCCCGAACTTTTTTTTTGAGGCAATTACATTCGTTAACTCGACAAATAATTCCAATTGGGTCCTACCGTCCAACTCTGTCAATTTGTCCAAAGTCATTTTCAGCCACAATTTTTCTTCTTATTCTAGATTTCTCTAGTTATAATACATTATATAATTAGTAGGATGTTTTTAGTGACTTTAACTTGTCTACTTCTCTCAATTTTTCTAGATTTTTCTATATTATTCAAGATTTTTCTTTATTATTCAAAGTACCAGTGTGCATTACTTTTTAACACTCCTCCTTAATGCACATTTGTGTTACTTCGAGCATGCTTCGTAGCAGTTTGAATTTTGGTCTTGGAATGTCTGCAATCTGCTCCTATGTCTTGCAGTACTTGAGCTCAACTTCTTTGTTTGCTGAGACTTCTCGTAAGAAGTGATGCTTGATGGCGATATGCTTTGTCCTGTTATGGAACACTGGATTCTTTGCTATTGCTATAGTAGACTTGTTGTCGCAAAATATTTCAGTAGCTTATGTTTGGCACTCTCCCATATCTTCAAATATTCTTTTGAGCCAAATAGCTTGACATGCTGAACTTGCTGCTGCTACATACTCGGCTTCTACTGATGATTGTGCAACGGTATCTTGTTTTCTTGATGACCCTGAAAATATACCAGACCCAATTGTAAATACATAGCTTGATGTGCTTTTCATGTCATCTATTGATCCAGCCCAATCATTGTCTGTGTAGCCAAATAGTCTTGGATCTTTAGTGGACTTATACCATATGCCATAGTCAATTGTGCCCTTCAAGTATCTCAATATTCTCTTTGCTGATCCATAGTGCATTTGATTTGGACTTTGCATAAATCTTGATAGTAAGCTCGTCGTGTACATGATGTCGGGTCTTGTTGTTGTTAAGTATAGTAAGCTCCGAATGAGACTTCTGTAAACTGATTCATCAACTTTACTTGATCCATCTTCTTTTCTTAATTTCTCATTGGTGATAAGTGGAGTTGCCATAGTCTTGCACTCGTACATCTTGAATTTTTTCGAAAGATTCTCAGTATACTTTTTCTGGCATATGAAGATTCCATCTTCTTCTTGGTTTATTTCAATGCCCAAAAAGTAGTGCATCAACCCAAGGTCACTCATCTCAAATGTTTTCATCATATCTTTTTTGAACTCTTAATTATTTCTTCATTGTTTCTAGTGTAAATGAGATCATCCACATATAGAGAGACGATCAATATATCGGAGTTACCTTGAGTTTTGGTGTAGAGGGTAGGCTCGCTTTTGCTGCTCTTGAAGCCTGCATTTATGAGGTACTAGTCTATGCTGCTGTTCCATGCTCATGGCCCTTGCTTGAGTCCGTACAAGGCTTTCTTTAGCTTGAGTGCTTTATCTTCTCCTCCTTGCTCAATAAATCCTTGTGGTTGCTCCATATATATTTCTTCTTCGAGCTCTCCATTTAGAAATGCAGACTTTACATCTAGCTGATAAATTCTCCATTTCTTTTGATCTGCTAGTGCCACCCGTGCTCTTATAGTGTCAAGTCTTGCAACTGGTGCAATGGTCTCGTTGTAGTCTAGCCCGGTTGCTGCAAGTAGCCTTTAGCTACTAGCCTTGCGTTATGTTTTTGTATTGATTCATTAGGATTAAATTTGGTCTTATAGATCCATTTAACCCCAATGATCTCTTTTTCTTATGGGCGATCAATAAGTTCCCATGTTTTGTTTTTCTCAATTGTTTTAATTTCTTCTTCCATAGCTTTTCTCCAGATTTCTTCTTTTACTGCAACTTCAAATCTTTCTGGTTCTATAGTTATGAAGTTACAAGTCTCATATATATCTTGGAGTGATTTAGTTCTTGGTTCTGGAGATCCTTCATGTTGTATAGATGGAGGAGTTGTAGGTG